CGTGGGATTGAGACTTATTGAAGTTAAGAGTTATTATTTTTGTTAAAGATTCTTGTGAAAATAGTAGTTCTTTCTCGTGTTGAGTTGAACTTTATAARTGAGTTTAATAACGTTTCCTATTTGAGTTGTTGGAAATTTGGGGACGTTATAGTTGCGTTGGATCTACTAATATATGAAGTTGTTTCATTATTTGTAGAATAGATTTATTCCCTTGTTGAAGGTTTTGGAGATAAAGTTGTATATTTTGAGCTAAGAATGCTTGTTTAAGGATTTTGATTGGATTTGTTTTGAGTTAAGGATGAGTGAGAGTGAGTTTCAGATTCTTTCCAGGAGTATGCTTGGTTCGTTTCTTAAATTTGTCTTTGCTGGTTCCCTTTTCCTTTGCAGAATATTCACATGGAAGTATGGTGGCATGGCAACGAGCTATGATATAAGAAACATTGTTGATATATGGCAAACTCTCTGTTTTATAATCTTCGTAGGGCTTCCCTGCTTTTGAGATCTTTGTCTCTGAACCAAGCATCTTTCAGGTGGTACTTTACAGCTATTTTCCTTCCATCTTCATTATTAGAATATGTTTGTGTTTTACTTTTGAACAGCCATTTTTTCCTACTTTTGTTAAATTATATTGTATTGTTATTTCCTTTTGTATTTAGGTAAGTGTTTCCTTGATTGATTAGGTGTTTCCTTGATGTAGAAATGCTTCTGAAGTTGTTCTTCCCAGTAATTTCTATTTAACCTACTCGTGCATCCATTCTTTGAAAGTAAGAAAGAATTATTTTTCTTGTCGATCGACACCTTTTAGTTTTTTGATTATCTAAGCTTGTGGCGAATTTCTTCTTTGATCTGTTTCCCCTCCTTTTGGTTCTTTTAAAATTTAATCTAACCTCAGAATTTTTAGATTGGAAGTAAACGGCTTGTGTTTGACTTTCAAAGATACAAATAGGGTAGAAACTATAGCATGTCTGAGCTTTTGATGKATTTGCTAGTTGAACATTGAGAATTTTATTGTGTTTCCATCATATATTTTGTTGCAGACCTATTCTTGGAGTACCTGACACTGTTTTCTCTCAATTCAAACACTTTCCTCTGCCCAACATCTCAAAACCTTTCTTGGGATTTAGAAACTCGAGCCACGGTTCTGTGGATCTTGTCATATCTCAAGGGAAACCGAAATTTGAAACACATGAAGTGGATCCTCCGAAAAAGTATAAGTGGAAAACTAAGAAAAGGTTGAAGGTTCAGCGAAAGAGAGAGAAGGAGAAAAGAAGAGCAGCAAACAAGAAAGACCCTCGTCTACTACGTGTAAAGGGAAAGAAAAAGCAGAAGTTTTCAAATGCAGAAGAGAGAATCAAGCACAAGCTGRAAAAGGTGAGGCAATTAGAACCAAGGATCTTATTTAGGTCTATATTGTTAATGGTTAGCTTATTTTATGGTATTATTACTAATGTACTTRGCAAAATTTGCTATTTTCAAAAGAAAAAGAATGATTTCAGAAGCATTTCTTCATTCTTATACCGAAGATTCCAGAAGCAGATGTGAAAAAATATGTTCAAGAAGATTCCGTGGGAGCACATGTGAAAAAACATATAAATAAAAAGCAATTCAAGAAAAACACGGGGGCGGAGCTTGATTTCTTGCTAAAAGTATTTTTTTTTTTCATTTTCAATTGAGATGGGATGATTCCTTAAATCAAAGAATGATCAATAACATCAAAGTATAGTCTCTTGCTTAGACGGATAAATCCCAAAGAAATTGCTATATCCTCTATTCAAAGTAGAGAAATGAATTTGGATATTTTGATATTTTTTCATTCTTCTGCTGAACTGCAGCAAAATGGTTTTCAAGTTAATGGATGTTGGTAGTTTTCRTGTGTTTCACTTGCAGGCCAGGATTAAGGAGGCATTGCTGATTGAGAGATTAAAGCGGTATGAAGTTCCAATGGTTCAGGGCCCTTTGGTGAAACCAMACAATCTAACTGCTGAGGAACGGTTTTATATGAAGAAAATGGGTCAAAAGAGGTCTAATTATGTACCCATTGGAAGAAGAGGAATTTTTGGAGGTGTGATTCTAAACATGCACATGCATTGGAAGAAACATGAAACAGTTAAAGTTATTTKCAAGCCTTGTAAACCCGGCCAAGTGCATGATTATGCACAGGAAATTGCAAGATTGAGTGGAGGGATCGCAATACAGATAATTGGTGATGATATGATTATTTTTTATCGAGGAAAGGACTACGTGCAACCAGAAGTTATGTCACCAATCGATACATTATCTAAGAAACGTGTGAGTTTTACATCTTTTGCTTTTTCTATAATGTTTTGAGTGCATCGTTCAACATTCCTTTATTTTTAATTTTTTTAAAAATTTATATAAATAGAGAAGTTTATAATAATCATCTTGGTGGYTCATTGGTCCAGAGGGCTAGGGTAAATTGAGAGGGAATGAGTTCACGCCTCATTATGTCCACCTATCTTAGGAATTAATTTCTATGTATTTTTCGGTACCAAATGTTGTAGGGTTTACTATGCTATGAGATTAATCGAAGTGTGCGTAAGCTGGTTCAGACATTCTCAGATATTCAAAAGAAAAAATAGAGAAGTGTTGATTGATGTCTTGCAATAGATCAGTACTATGCATGATATGACTAACAATAATAGTGACTCTGTAGGTAYAATAGTGAATGACCATGCTAAGAAATACTATGATAGGACTCGATCGCACTGGTAATATCGTAATTAGAAGGTAGTCTATTTGTGGTTTGTTGGAGGCTATTTGTTATAGATGGTGGGACTTGACATTAGGGAAGTTAGGCAAGATTGTGATTGTTTAGTCTTGACTGCATTTAGAAGGGGAGGGTCCGAGTTCCTAGAATTACTTGCAAGCATCTTCTATGTATTTTCCTATCTTTAGTCTTTCAATACAATTTTCAAGTCYTGTTGGTTGCTATCAAACTGTCTGTGTGGATGAATGATCAATAAARTTAGAGCAGATTTTCCATTTTCATATTAGCAACTCCACTGCGAGTGTTTATGTGGGTTCAGTTTGCTGGAAATTGATTATAAATAAACCCATGCAAATGGTTTTTTCYTCCTTGCAGGCGCTAGAAAAATCCAAGTATGAGCAATCACTCGAGTCTGTACAGCGATTTATCGCTATCGCTGAGAAGGAACTGGAGCTATATTACAGGCATATTGCACTTTATGGTGATCCAAATGATAGGAATCCAYTGTCCATCTTGGACATTCCATCTGACAACTTGAAGGAATCACAGAAACATCAAGTTTGTCAAATGGAAAACTCTGATTCTACTGCTCTTTGCTTAGCTTCTGATCTTATGAACAGGAGAAATCTCGATTTGTCCGATAGCGAATCATCAGACATTGAAGATGACTCTGCAGATTCCAACTTATCTACAAGTGAATCAGATTCTGAAAGTGACAAATTATATGATTCTGATAATGGGAGTACAGAAGGAAGTTCAGCTTTTGAGACTAAATTTGGATTTCATAACCAAGAATTATAAATGATGATGACATGAGACCGTAATCTAGTTTTTTTTGTTCTGCTTCGATTAGATGTATGATTCAATGAAAGCATGAGCTGATTTATGTATATATATAGCAATATATTTTCGGAAGTATACTATCTACACAGGAAATTTTGGGAAGCTGCATCAATTTTCTTTCCTGCTTTGCTCTTCTATTACATTCATTCACTAATTTTAACGTAAAAATCTTTTCGAACTTGCTAATCGTATGGAGGAAGAGATTGAGCCGAACTGAGCTCGATTTGATTTGTCGCTTCAGTCTATTAAATTTAATGTGCTGTTTTTCTCTGAGTGCAATCTGAGTCTAATTTCGCATACCCTATGGCCAGCGGGAAAGAAGTTCTATAAAAGTCATGATTCAAACAATTATTGATGAAAAGTCATGAAAATTTAGAGGTATTCATTTAAAAATAAATGGGACGTATAATCTTTTAAAAGCGTGAAGTAGATCGACATCCATACAAGATAACTTTGTAAAATAATCTAAAGATGTATATATAAAAATACTCATAGTAATTCGAATTCTTGATTATGGTACATTTTAACGACAAACGACATGTTGTCCACCCCTTCAAGAACTTAAAATAAATAAACGTATAGTATACGTAAAGGGAGGAGATGTAGACAAAACTAGAAAATGAATCAAAAAATGGAAAAAATCAATAAGCAAGAGGGATTGAATATTGAGCATCAAGTGCAATGAGGAATACATTTTGGATTAAATTTTTTGGAAAAAGAATTCTTCTCTAGTGTCTTTTGATCGGAAATAGGTGTTTTAACCGGTTGAACTACTGAGGTCGGCTCAAATGTCTTTCTTTCCCATTCTAAAAAGTTAGAAATAAAAACAAAAACTATTTTCCAACACCAGTTTCCTCTCCTTTATCCACCTTGAGGAGTTTCCTCTCCTTTATCCACCTTGAGGAGTTGGGAAAGGGGAAAAAAAGTAATTAAATCTTATTCCAATCACTATATTTCACAATTATCTCTATGTATTTTGAAATGTTTTAATTTGGTCCTATAAAAATTTCACAAGAATTGATTTTAATTTTACCATTAAATTTTCATATTGCATTTAACAATAGATTATTCATTTTATATGACTTGAAATTGGTGGTTGTTACAGAAAATTGACCCATTAAAACGTTGTGAGCAACAAATTGATTAGAATTTAGAATTTAGAATTTACAGGACAATGGCCTGTGCATCACATTCAGTAACGTTMATCCTCAGCGAACCCCATACATGGCTGCATCTCTCCCATTTTCGCTGCATATTTCCCAAAAAAGCCTCTGCCCAAGCCTCCTTTGCCCCTCCCATGCTCACTTCATAAGGCACTGTGAAACTGTTGTGMAAATTTATTTAACAACACACACAGTAATGGTCACAATTTGAGAATTTACCTACAAAATTACCTCAGCAGTTCTTCAAGCTGAGATCCCTTTGTGGACGCACCTTTCCTGTAGGAATCAAACTTATAAGAAGTTGAAATAACCTTTGAGAACAACTGGAGCACCGCTTCATTAGCCTTCTTTCRAGAGCATTTTAGTGGAAGAAACAATTTCATTGATGATATGAAATTACAAAAGACCCCAAGAGGTTACATGAAGCACTTCCAACTATAGCTTAAAGAAGTGTGACTATAGTAAAGAAATATGGGAGAACATTTGCACCAAGAAATGACTACAAAGACAATTGAATCGAAAAGCCGATCTAAAGGGTGGATTTTGTCGGTATTTTCTTTCCCTCCAAGTAATCCAAAAGAAGRCTCTAACAAAATGCTTCCAGAGAACTTCCTTTTCTTTTTTGAAAGGGTGGCCCAAGAGAGTGGCTTCCAAAAGGGAAGGGAGGTCCTCAGGTAATGCTGTAGTCCATCCAAACGTTTTTAACAGAAAATTCCAGAACCTCAATGCKAATGAACAAGTGATAAAAAGGTGCTGTTGTGTTTCTGAAGCCTGTTTATAAAGGATGCACCAATGGGGAGAAATAGACTTGTATGGCTGTTTCCTTTTCAGCTTGTCACAGGAGTTTATAGCTTGGTGACTGCACTCCCATAGGGAAAATTTGACCCCCCTTTTTGGGTAGGGATCCTTCCAAATTGCTTTGTAAAGTCCAGGAGGGGAGCTCGTTAAGTGGGAAGATAGGTCCTTGATGAGGGAGCTGGTTGTGAAAACACCACTGGGATCGGGGCTCCAATAAATGAAATCAGCCTTCTTCCGAGAGCATGGTATTTTTAGGTTTTCAAAATCGCATTTGATTATTGGACTAAACAATATGAACATTTTGACAAGAGCTTTCAAAAATTAGTTAAGACACTATTCAGCGTCCCAAAAATCATACSAAACTCACCCTAAGAAAGCTAGCTATCATGGGATGGGATGATCTTCCAGTTGCATATTGTATTCTTTCATTATCTGGTTGCAAGCAACAGGTTTTCACAACTCCATTAAACCAAGCCATGTTAGAGCGGGAAAAAGATTCTGTGTATGAAGTGAAGAAACAGCACAGCACAAAAATAGTATCCAACAATCTAGTCTTCTAAGAAAATTATGGACTGGTTTTTTAGATTTAGTGTGACAAGCTTGTCACCAACTGGATTATTGCTACAACAMGTACATTTTGGACTGTTACAAGATCTGAATTGGATAACAGTTTCTTGATTCTATGGAAGAGATATGCCAGATGTGAAGCGGATATCTCAGATTTTAAAGTATGGTAATGATGCAGCTATGAAGGAAGCTATGAAGGAAGATTATCATTTAGTAGCATTATTATTTCCACGATAGGAAAGAAATTGGAAACGGCGTACCTGCTTACTGATAAACTGAAGATGTGAAGAGGCTTAGCAGAAAGATTGTAAGTAGCCTCAGAGATGTGCTCCTTGTCAAATAGGTAYACAATTGGATAGCCAAGAAGCCATCTGAGCCAAATAAAATATCAACTAATCACATATTAAACTCAACCTATCAAAAGAATAAAATTAAACTGCTATACAAATCACATTGAATAGTCATTAAATTCTTACCATGATTTATATTTGAATTTGAAAATTAATTTTCATTGGTAACAGAATTTGAAAATTAATTTTCATTGGTAGAGTCAAAAGATAACAAAATTTCCCCGAACTCGAAGAGCTAAGAAAAATCTGTTCTTACTAGAACTAATTACAAAAGGGCTATAATTAGTAAACAGTTTGACATTCCAAAGGGCACACCAATTAGAGGCTAGCAACTTTACTATTTTGTGATCTTCCTCTTTCCTTTTCGCAACAGAATTGTATGAGAAGAGAGATTTTTCCAGAAAAGTTCATTAAAGGATTTTAATTCCACCTCCTAATGTCTCTCTAGTCAGAAGGTGCTTGATCTCTACACTACTTATGGGTAACTTTCCATCTCTATCCAATTCATTCCACTATTAAAGTCCTTATACAATATCAACTAATATCATGTTCAATTACTACTATATCCAACAGTTTACGCTAACAATGCCAATTSATGGGTCCTTGACTCATTAAGTGGCTGTGGAACTCAAGCATCCYACTAAAACTAAGATTCTTCTAGTACTACCAACCCCAATTGCAACTACAAAGCTAAAAAATGCCTCTAGGTAGTTTATGAGTCTTATGTAAGAAATGAATAATTAAGAGGTACTTAAGAAGTAAAGAATTTACCCATTTAAAGTTGGCAGCGTGATTTCAGTATGTTCCAAAAAGTTGCTAAGATCAATGACAGAAGACCGAGAACTAATCTTGTGAAAAGAAGATCTGGTACACGTTATGCAGTTTCCCCCAATAGACGGCGATGGATCATTTTCCATTTCATCTAGAGAAAATAAAGATGAGAACAACTTTTGAACTGATTTAAGCTGCAAACCCAGTGGGCTTCTTTCAGGATCTATTATAATTTGGAGCAAATAAGACAAAAAGGTAATCACCAAAGAGGGTAAATGTAGCACTCAGAATTTAAAAGATGAAGATTAATATTACTGTGAACCTCGGGGGGATCCTTTGCAATATCAACCAGGAGCAGTGCTGTTTTGGAATTTAAACTTGATTGAATGTGCTCAGCGAGYCCTTGCACATGTATCAGATATATCATATCCTCTATGACCATTACCTTAAGATGCTCAAATATATGTAATTCCTGCATCGGTTTATTAAAACATTTTGTATTAAAATGGTGCACAAGACATTTAAGATGATAAAATGGTCATATATCTTCAATGACCACCCCCGCATGTGTTATTGTTCAATGTAGTCATGTCAGACCCTAACAAAAAATTTTGATCAAGAATACTGAGCTTTCGAGAAAAATGAAAGAGCACAAAAGGGCCAACCAACAAGCAAACAAGGAGACCAACAAAAAATGGGCATACAAAATAATAGCCCAAGACTTCAAAGTTTCCTAAGGTGTCCAAGTCAGATTTTGGGAGGACCCATGGATTGATTCTGCCCCTCTTTCCACCACTTTCCCGGATTTTTTTGCGTTATCCTCCAAGAAAGGTATGTCCATTGCGGATTGTTGGTGTGCAGAGGCTTCAACTTGGAATCTCGGTTTCAGAAGAAATCTCTTTGAAAGGGAAACGAGTAGATGGGCAAACTTCACTGAAAAAATAGAAGGTGCAGCTATTGGAAATGGAAGAGACATTTTATGGTGGAAAGCGGACCCATCCGGCCGTTCACAGTCAATTCAGCCTTACGCACTCATAGGAACAAGTGAACGAGTGAGAAAGAGAGAGACAGTTTGAACAAGTGCATTACGCACTCATAGGTGGGCCCTAGAGAATACTTGTTAATTACACAGGTATAAGGAATATTGGTTAGTTACGTAAGGAGGATATATCTAAGAGTAGAGATAGGGAGGGAGGGATTATCTGAGTAATTACATAATTGTGATTGTATTCTCTGTGAGCACTTGGGAGAGGCAGGGAGCTCTCTAAACTCCCTTGGCTTGTTAATAAAATTGAGGCTTAGGCCTATCATCACCATAAACAATTAGGAATAGTCCTGCATTTTTGAATTAAGGGATATTATTCCACTTTACTAAGAGAAAATGTGCCCCCTACTCCAGTAAATGGGTTGAGATTCGTTTCTTTTCTTCTATGTTTATAGCATTTAAAAGTACAGCATCTACTTTCACCTAATAAGTACAATATAATTACTAAGAAACCCCCACATAATTTAAGATTTCTGAAAATGAAAATATAAATTTGAAAGACATTTTTGYTATGAAATAGGTGAAGGAACCTCCCAATTTTGAATCTTCACTTAGAGTTAATAAGTTCATATTTGAAATAAACTAAGTCTCSAACTAGATTTATAGCTCAAACTTTGAGTTCTTATACAAAAAGTACAAGAAATTTATAGGGATTTTAATTTGTTTTGTGCGTTCATGTGCATGTATCCTGTTTTCATAATTGTTATGAAGCAGTAGCTCAACTTTATATAGTAGCAACCTCGCTATTATWACACTTATATAGAGATAAAATCTCCAAGGTAATTTCTTCAAAGAGAATAGAGACTCTACATTTTTTGTTGCTATTGAACCACAAAGCAACCCTCATGGGACGTTAGATATCAGAGATGTAGTGACAATTTTTATAGGCTTCAGTAGTCTCATTCCCCCAATGATACAACAAAGAAATTGATTGTAAGGTCTATTGAAATAATGTTAAGGATGCAAAGACGTTGATTAGCATAATTTAGAATCCAWCAACTAGAGTATGCAAGCAAGAAGTATGTAATAAACCTTTTGCATCAGTTTTAGAAGAGCACAAAGCCGCTCTTGCAGTTCAGGCATCTTTCCGCCATAGTCTATCATTACAACTGGTCTYMTTCCTGTACACAAAGCTAAGACATCTGCACCACCAAACAAACAAGCCATGATCAAGGGGGAGGTGAYGATAAGAACTATACTGSCAAYGCTTTCGAATATGCAATAATCAAAACCCTCAATATGTTGGGTCAAAAWTTTCAAATRTACCAAAGAATTGAAACAYATAAACAAAAGGGGAAAATGAAGMCGATGCAGATATTAGAAAACAACAGAAATGAAAGAGTGAGTCTGAGAAGACGAAGGATAATAGAWATTGACCTATTTCAAGGCGACGCTTCGCTGGGAATTTGAGACGCCATTTGATTTGACGAAGAGAAGAATCTAACACCTTCACTGCTTCGTCCASTTCTCTTGCCTCCATCATKCCGCTCATTCACCCCAAAACAGCTCTACTCTTTTTGTTTATTTCTTTTTTTAGTTTAAATATCATTTGATCATAACTTTCAATATGGATTTTTGACAAAAATGATATCTTTTTTTAGGTTGCGTCGTTCGGGTTTCTGCAATCCCAGACCGGGATCCTTCTAACCCGGACCGGGATCCTCCAATCCCGGTCCGGGATCCCAAATTCCAGATTTTTTTTTTTTTGCATTTTCTCCCGTCTGGGCCCTATTGTTATCAATTAAATCTTGAGCATTTAATGCAATATTGTCCCGAGATTTTTGTAATATTGACTTTTTTGTAATTAAATTCGCACAAATTATGTAATTATGTACGTTTTTTTTTATTTTTTCCATATTAAACTTTTAATTTACTATTTGAGTTAGATATTTTTTTTAAAAGTTAGATTTTTTAAGGTTGGAATTAATTATTGTGAGAAATTTGTAGAGGGAATAAAGATTTGTAAAAAGATTTGTGGAGGGAGATGTTGATTATGAAACATGAGGGTACTACGGTAATTTTACACCGTGGTGAATTCGTAGGGTTACGTTGGCACCGCAGCAGTTTGGTAGCGGAGACTGCAACATTTTTTTTTGTGTTAAGTATTTTGAATATGATGTAACATGAACTTCTTTAGAAACATTGAGGCAAAACAATATGTCGTACTTTAGGAGACAATTTGCCTTCTAGCTATGGTCTAATAAGGCAGTTTGGTGATGAAGTGTACGAACTATTTTTCAATATATTAATCATTTTAATCTTTATTTTTATAGCTCATTGAATTTTAGGGCCGGGGTCAAGTATAACTCGGCCAAGAATAATAGAATCAACAAAAATGTGCCAACCTCGGGTTCGACCTTGCCCGAGAAATTTGACAGAACCTGAAAAAGATCCAACCCTGGGCTTCACCTAGCCCGAGAAATTTGACAGAACCTAAAAAGATCCAACCCTGGGCTTCACCTAGCCCGAGATCTACCCGAGAAATTTGACAAAACCTGAAAAAGATCCATCTGTTCTAAGGATGCATGTTGACCATCAGTAGTTGCACAAGGGGCATTCGTACTTACAGACTGTACTTCCACAACATGTGTTCTTGAGGATGGATCACCGCCACAAACTGGATCCTCAGCTTCATCATCATCCTCATTCTCAATTTCAATGTAATCATCATCCTCATTCTCAGTTCCTATGTAACCATCATCCTCATTCTCATCCTCATTCTCATACTCATGATCCTCATCACCTCCAACATCATCCCACTGACCGAAGTGTTCTTGTTCATCGTCGCCTAAATTGCATGAGACAATGTTGTCCGTCAATGGAGTCATAAATTCTACAGAAGATGGCGGGTTGACAGTATGTATAGGTCAGTGCATGTGATTTAGTGGGACAGGAGAAGGAACATTTTGTTCTACTTGGCATGGAAATGAAGCGAATGTTTCGGTTTGGGGATATAATGTACCATCACGTGAGTTACTTCCACTACCTTGTCTTTCCTTTGGAACAACAGAGACATACAAGGGCACTTGAAAAGGATGTGGAGGGCCCATAAGGTAAAAACCAAGGCTAGTATCATCAAATATATAAAAGTTTGATACTTGGTACTCAAATTTGTAGATACATTGTAAAACAATATTGAAAAGGTCAGGATTTATTCTAGTCATCCTAAAGATTGCACTTACAAGGTCTCTATATGTTATTCCTTCGTCAACATTAAACCCACCCATAACTCCACCTTCGTATACAGTGCCTATCTGCTCCACTGACCCCCATAGATCACAAAAAGGTGAACCATTTTGTTCTGCATTACAAAGCACAATTGAAAGACAATTAGAGATAGATTATGATATATATATATAAAATAAACTTCAACCTCGGGCGGGAAATGTTGGGTGTGTTGCCCTAAACTCGTAGTTTGTATGTTGTGTAAAAACAAATGTATATTTAATAAAGTTTTATTCAATAAATTTGTTGTTGAATTCATAGCATTGCATTGTATAAAATCCAATAAACTAAACATCCGAGGTTATTTTAGTGTAACCGGGACAGTATATGTACTGGGTATATATTTGATATATTGGGTATATAATTGATATACCCCTGATATACAAGGTATATGTTTGATATACCCTGATATACAAGTGGATTATGTCCCGTGAATAACCTAAAGGGCCTATAGTATATGGATAAGGCTGGGTACCTTATCTTGGCAACACTATGAATCCAGCCCACTCTGTAAAGGTTACAGACGACTCGATCCAGGTTGTTCGTGTGGAGACATGCGAGTGGGGGTATCCTATACAATGAGTTTGTATAAGACCGGACCGCGAAATAGGCAATCTTTAGATGTAACACCGTTAACTAATAGATTGCTATTTCTTAGGATGACCAGGCAACTCATTCTCAATTCTGAGTGAGTTATGGACTCCTGCCCGTGAGCACTCGTCCTTTGATCTGTATGGGTGAGAGTGGCCCAAGTTGCCGACTCAACATTCCTACCATTTTGGGGACGAGACCGAGTGGGGAGCTGGGAACATAACTTCACAAGATGAAATTCATTCCTCCCCGACTTTAGGGGAGTAGATGAGTGTTCCCTTAAATGCTGACTCCGGGACTTGAACAAGGGGCCCCACTCTCTTATTGGCCCGAGAGGGACTTCCGGTTATTGGTCGAACCGTAACCGGGTTGTTCATTAGAGGAGTAGTGGTATTTAAGGAGTAAGATGTAACTCAAGGGTAAAACGGTAATTTTACCCAACTTGAGTTATGAGCACTCGTGAAGGATTGACTCATCATTAATGGTCGTATATCCATGGACACGAAAACATTCTACAGTGAGAAGAGTGCAACTGCGGGTCTTTAGTGGAATGACCCGTAGTTAACGAATCTTGATTAACTCGGTCAATGAGTTTGACCGATTAATCTTGCATCGTTGGAGCTTCTGATCTGTAGGTCCATTAGGTCTCCTTGCTAGCTCATAACGGGTAAAACGAGGATGAAGTTTTTGGAAGAATTTGAATGGTTCAAATTACTTAAGGAATTATATGTATATTGATACATTATAATATATAGTTAATTATAAATTAAAACTTATATTATGAGAGAAATTATTTGAGTGAGATTCAAATAAAATTAATATAAATAAGATTCATATTAAAACTATAGGTTAAAAATAACGTGCATAAGATGTACATTAGAACTATAGGTTATACGAGAGAAATGTTATAGAATATGATTCTATTTATGAGATAAATAATTAAGTGTTAATTATTTGATATATATATATATATTAATCAATTATTAATTAGATTAATAATTAATTAATATTTATTAATTAATATGATTAATTAATTATTATATATATATTTATTATATATATATATTATATATATAAATAATATAAATAATAATAATAATATTATTACTATTATTAATATAATAATAATAATATTATTAATATAATAATATTATTATTATTAATATTTAACTCCCCTGCAAAATTGTAGGGGAGTGGACAGCTAAGTGACGTGGGGTAACTCTCCACGTCACTGCTTTTGTTTTTCTTTTTGCAGTTCTGCAAAAACAGAGGTGAAGAACAAAAGAAAGATCTACCATTTTCTCTCTCGATCAAGCGCTCTCAATCAAACTCTCCCTCTCGTTCCAAAGAAACGCTCTCACAAGCGTGTTCTCAAAACCCAAAAGGATAGCAAGGAAGGTCGTTTGGTGGTGTTCGTTGGGTAATCGTTGATGAAACGTTCTTCAAAGGTAATGGTTTTCCACTGTATTTTCTTCTTAACGGTTTTTATTTTGTTTCCCAAATATCACAAACAACGGTCCGTTCCGCTCTGGGATTCACATCCCTTCAGGAAATATATTTTCCCGCCTGAGGTGGAGTTCAATATGCAGCCACGCCTGAGGTGAGTTTAGTACCTCGGCCGAGGTTCATCAATAACATGATTCTTGATCGAGAATCATATCACCTCGCTCGAGAATGGCCTGAAATTTAAACCGAACAATGCATGAGGAATTGACAAATGAGTTTAACACAAAATAATGAACGTTATTGTTACTCCGACTGTAACAAAAATAAACCAAACGATGACCAAATAAAAACACATATGTTAAAATGTAGACATCAAGCAAGATTATTGAGCAAAATGAGAAAGCATAAAAAATAAATAAAGAAAGCATAAAAAATAAATAACTACCTCTTCCAAAGTCTTGAAACTTCCAAAGAGAATATTGACAAAGTTTTTCAAATTTTTTAGGATTGTGCAGAGAGAATATTCACAATAAGGACATATGTTCTCTGAGGTTAGTAATGACATGTACTCATTGGTTAGGTACAACTTGGTGTGCATTAAATTGGTTTTGTGGTGCATTGAAGCTACTTCGGGCGGGAATGTTTCTACCTCAGGCGGGAATTATTACAACGATCATCTGTTACATTTAATGGCATTATGGTCATTTCACCTGCTTATGACACATCATCAATGCTAAAAGTGGGTCAGTTGGGCACATTTTGAGGGGTGGGTCATTTGAGCATTTGAAAAACTTTTCAAGGTCATTTGAGTCAATTTCCCAATAAGATGTGTGTTTAGAGTTCTCTTAGGCTACGTTTATTTATACCCAGTCGTAACGAAATCAATTGGAATCGTAATATTATTTGTTTACTAGAAATTTTCTCTAATCAAAATTCGTTTGACGTTTATTAAAACTATCTACAGTCGAAATCAGAATCAGAATTAGATATATAACAATTATTAATATACTCCTTTCTCCCTCTTAACTAATTACAAATATATTATTGTGTTAATCTTTTTTAAACTACAATAATAATAAATTTTAATTTAATTTATTTCTATATTATTGATAGTAAATATTTTTATTATCACAATTTATCTAATACTAATACATAAATAATTAAAATAAAATTACATCAAATATAATATTAGAACAACCAAACTTTAATATAAAGTATTATTATAATATTTAAAAGTAATAATATCTATTTAAAAAATTTATTGATATTAATTAATATTAATTAATCATATTATATAATAAAATCACATCAAATAAAAATATTGGAGTATAAATGAGAAAGAAATTA